CAGTGAGGAGGAAAGGCAGTGAGCTGGGAGCTGTTAATGGCTACCTACAATCAGAGACAGATTGAATTACACAAAGAGCCTACCTGTCCAAGGAGAATTCAAACCGGCTATTTTTAGCCATCACCAAAGGCTCCTGTGAGCTGTTGGAAATTCAAATAGCTCGAGTTGGGTGCTGCTCAGAGTGAATCGAGGAGCTTTCATTTTAGGAAGGAGGGTGCTTCGCCACCACTCCATAACAGGCCCTGTGCTATGTGTATGCTCACTTTTATTTCACCTGGTGGTCATAGCAATCTTCAAAGGTTGGAATGGTCCTCATTTTACAGATGAGGCACTTGAGGCTCAGAATAAGTGACTTGACCAAAATCAACACAGCAAGAAACTGGAAGGGCTGGGGGTAGAAATAATATCTGCCTGATTTCAAAACCTACATTGCTCCCACAGCCTTCCTGGGTTTTGGTTCAGGGAGAAGAGCAAATCAATTATCTCCCATCATGATGCAGAAGGAGAAAAAATTTCCAGCTCTCATCTTGTTGGCCCTACACAGCAGAACTCATGAAGACTCAGATGAATCATAAAATTCAGGGGTCCCAGGCGTCTATCAAGGGAAAGGAAGAAGCTTCCAGGCCAGGCAGAGAAGGAGCTAGACATGGTCCATCCACCCAGTGTGACTCCCCATCATCATTGGAGGCTCCCCTCAGCAGAAGTGGCTAACATGGAGCATCACTGAGCACAAAGCACAGGTACTGAACACATTCCCCTTCTAACTTTTGGTCCAAAGACAAAAAAGTTGCCAGAACTAACAACAGTATACAAAATTCCCTATGTAAATTGTGACCCAGATGTCAAGATGTTTTTTTTTCCCCAGTGATATTGTAAGCTTCATAATAGTTTCACAAAGATATAAAAGAAAAAAACAAGAGGAAAGAGCGCTGAGCCCGGGCAGAGGCTGCACTGGAGGATGGTCAGCACCACGGACAGCCACCCACAGGACCAAGCTCTCTCTGCCTCTCCCCTCCTCTCTCTGTATGTACGTATATGTGCATATACATATAAAAAAGTATATATGTGTGTATATATATATATTTTTATGTGTAGTTCTAATGAACGTTGCAATGCAAATCTTGCAAGAATCTTCTTTCAGGCAAATGAAATTTCTTACAATATCCTATAAAGCCATAATGTTCTCAAATCACCAGCAGGCCTTTGCCCCTGGGAGGAGAGCTACACTTGCTGATATATTCAGCAAACTGCTGTGAAAAATGTAATCCAACCAAGAAGGAAGTCCATTTCTCGGTTCCTTTGTAACGAGGGCAAAGAGTCCATGTGCCGGAGAGTCTGTGTCAAGGAAGAATGGCAGGGTGCCTGCAGACATTTGCTCTGCCAACCTTTTAATGCTTTCACTACCATAGGAGCATTCCATCACCTCTGAAACATGTAAGCTGGCTCCCTATGCAAGGCAGACCACCCCATCAGAGTGGAGCCTGAAGGAAAATAAGCCTCCTTCGGATCTTCACAGTCATTAAGAGATCTGTGCCACTGCTCAGGGAAACACAAATTAGGACACAGTGTTAATGTGAACTAACGACCCTACAAAGGGACTCTGGTTTCTACCATACCTGTTTCCTGGAGTGTTTTCTCACTGCCCTGCCTAATGTCACACATGCTAGTGTCATGTTCCAGTGGCTTGGAGAGCCTCCCTTTCTGATTTATTTGTGTATAAATCAGATCTCAGGAATGGGGAGCCAAGGGTGCCACTGGGTCAGAGCAAAGACTACTGGATATTCTGCATTGCTGTGAGTCAGGAAGTGGGCAGAGAGAGAGAGAGAGATCATGGGTCAGGGAAGAAAGGAGGTAGGTTAGATCCAAGGACAACTCCCAAAGGAGAGGCAACGGAGCCCAGAATCCAATCCACGAGGTCAGAGTGTCCATAGCACTGCAGTGAGTTAGCACTCAAACTAGGAGACAGAGACCTGGGTTCCAGTGCATGCTCAGCCCCTGACAAGCACTGCAGCCTTAGAAAAACCATGCCTTCCCTTCATCTCCTAAAATTACCTCTCAGCTTTTGCACACTCTGTTCCCTTTGCCTAGATTACTTTCCCATCCTTTGATAATTTGTCTTGAGTCTAGATATTCTCCTCTTCTAAACCAGGCAAAACCCTATGCATCTTTCAAGGCCCTAATCAGTCAGCCCTTCTCTGTGGAGCATCCCCTAGGGCTGTGCAGTTTAGCCACTTCTGCTGTCTGGGCCTCAGTTTCTAAAGCTGTGAAATGGAACATCAGCGAGGAAGGGGCTTCCAACGGGTCATTCAAAACATAGCCTTTGCTGACCCTGGATTTTTGCTCATGGCTGAATACATGCCTCTCCCTTACACCTGGAAATCTTAGAATGAGATTCAGCTCAAATGTGGCTTTCTTGGTTCCTATGTAGAACTGCCACGCTCAAACAGATCTTGGGTTTGTCTCTCCACTAGATGGTGATCTCCTTGAGGGCAGGGACTGTGCTTTATCCCCCATTGTCCTCTCCATGCCTAACCCACAGGGGAGCTCATCGAACATTTTGGTTCAATGAACAGTCCCCACGCTCTCTCCATGTATCATGAGAGAAAGCCCACCAGGAGCCCCAGTTAGACACATCGCCAACCATATGTCTCCTAGTCCAGGTCACTTCCATTCTCATCTCAGCCACAGTAGCCTTGAGGTTAGTAAGGCTGAGATCTCCTTCTGGAGTCTCTGGCTGAAGGTGCCCAAACCTCAAACCTTCTCCAGTGATGATTCAGAACAACTGGGGTGGACTTAGAGGCTCCAGGACTCCCCCTCTCAGTAGAAAAGAATGTGTTCCCCATCTTGGACATAAATACAAAGATTCCTTTCTCAGATGGAACAAAATACCACCCCACAGATGTGGGCCAGCTGAGGGGTACCACAGCATTCCTGCAGCCTCAGGGGTTTCTCGGTGGCGACCACCCAGCCAGCCCTCCCACTGCGACAAGGACAAAACATACCTGATTGTAACAGAGTCAGTGGTCTCGCTGTGTGTTGAGACATAAATTTCAGCTGATTGAAAAGTCTTCAATGGTCCATGAGAGTGTTATTATACCAGGTGATCTCAACTCTGTGTGTGTGTGTGTGTGTGTGTGTGTGTGTGTGAGACAGACAAAGTCAGAGACAGAGACCGAGAGACAGGAGAAGGCTCACATCACCTAGGCAATCTGAACGTTGCCCAAAAGGAGGTCCAGCTAATATCAGCTGTTGACATACACAGCCTAACTCGTGTTATCTAGCTCAGTATCACCCGTAGCAGCTTTCTCTCTAAACACACATGACTTTAAGCCCATCACTTCAGGTGGTCAGAGTCACCATCAAAATAGCGTAAATATTGGCATAAAAAAATCAGTCCTGGGGATGATAAATCAGCCATCAAATGAAAACCTCATCACTCTATCGTCCAAACCAGACACTCGCCATGAGGATGTCATCCAGCCTGGATTTCACACACCCTCCCCGCCCTCTGCCAGCCGGACCTTCAGACTGGGGTGAACTGAGAGCAATGAAGGGGATGTAGATGGC